TTGGGCAGTTAACTAAATTATCGTTTCTTATAATTACGAACCGGATCAATCCACAACCGATTGGAACCATACTGAAGCTGCTTCGAACCAAATACCTGAATGCCCGGTCCGTATCGAACCACCAAAAAGTCGGTAACCGGAGGATAAATCAAGGACACCGAAATCAAATTTTATCCTTTTCTCTATCATTTTCAGTTTCACTTTCACACAAAAGGACGCTTCTACAACCGAACTAACAAGAAACAAGAGTATATATACAGACACAAGAGTGGCTTCAAACACTTTTGAGATTTCTATGTCCAAAAACCAACTTCTATGTTAGACCATCTCAAGCTGCAATTACTATGATAACAATGAGGAGAATTATCCCAAATATCACCATTAGCAAGCACATCTGCACAAATAACCAGAAGACAAAATAAGTAAAGGAACATGAAAAACAATTAACTAAAGCGATTGCTGATCATAACGAATCATTCGTACCAGAGATGAGTTTGATCGTTGTGTCTTGGAAGCTTTCACGAGATGAGACTTTCCCTGAGCTGTTGCGGAATATGCATTCTCGACGTGGCTACCGATATCATCTGCAACAAACAGATTTTATAAGAGGAGTTGAGAATTTGGAATCAAAGCTTTCTTGGTTTTTTATACTGTTAATTTTGCTTTTAGAAGTTTTTTTTTTTTTTTGTTACCAATCATGGCTCCTTGGTCGTGGACCAACACCGCAAGATCTTTAAAAATCTCGTTTACTTCACCGATTTGCTGTTGAATTTCCAGTATTCCTTGTTCTCTTTCCTCTATCACAGCTTCGTTGAAGGAAATTTCGTTGTCAAGCAACACAACTTCTTGCCTTCAGATGAATAAAGACAGAGGTTCAAAAATAATAGAGCACGGAACTTATTCTACAGAGATATGCGGCGCAGAACTTACTTACCTTCTCGATTCCATAAGGAGACGCTGCTCTTGTGATCTATCATATCCCCCAATGTCTGCTTCACTGGTACAGAAAAACAATAACATCAGTAATAATTTCAAAGCGGCTATAAGAATACGGAAAATTTTAACTGTGAAGAAACACTCTTTTTAAAATGTAGTCTACAAGACAAATAACTTGTGTGCTTGAACCAGTTTGCTTCCAAAAAAAAAACAGGTGGAGCTATCAATCTCAAAAGGGTAGAGACTTGAGATTCTGATATTGAAACCAATGATAGAAAGAGAACATAGTGATAACATTTACTGTTGAAATTAATGTTACTAACTCCGCATATGTTGCAGTTTCAATACCTTGAAGAAAGGCTTCCTTTTGGATCGAAAGGAGTGTAAGAAGTTTCTCTTTCAGCTGCAATCCGCTGCGCCTTCTGAAACTCTTTCAACACTGCTTCAAAATCCTTTGCTAGTTTCGCATCTGCAATCTTCTTACTTTGCTGCATCAATACCGGCACCAAGAGAAAAACAAAAACCCCCATAAATAGTGAAACCTTACACACAAACAACTTTTCAGAGAATGTCGAACTAATAAACATCTTCAAAGTGGGAAAAACACACTTACAGAAACATCTCGGCGATGATCGCTTTCGCTAGCTTCCTTAAGTTTCGATGAAGTGTCTTTTACCAATTGTCCAATATGTAATCTTGTCTTGTGCCTGACAGAGAATTGACCAAACATTCAAACACAATCCTAGTTACCTCGACCATTTTGATTAGCGCTCAAGAGAAGAAAAATGAGGAAACTTTTAGACAAAACATATGCAAACAAATCACCTATTGAGCTTTAGCCTCTACATTTCTATTGGCCTCCACGCAAGAAAAGTCAAGGAACTCAATTTGGCAGATAAAAACCCTAAAAGAAATTGGGGACCTATTGCATGATTCCAGAGAGAGAAACCCTAAAAAAATCCATCGGACTCACAGCTTGTCACGGAGCTCCGGCGTATCTTTGGGGGTACCGAGAGTATTAACAAGTCGCTGAAAGGTGGAAACCGCCGTGTTGATCTGAAATATACCGGAAGCCACCGCTTGCGTTGAATCCTTCTTCCCGTTGATCGAATTCCTTTGCGATTTCATCGGTTTCCCAGATTCCAGATCCTGAAAACTCATCTCTGAATTTTCGAAACAAATTCGAGAAAACGTGAAGCTAAAATTGAAGGGGTAATGATCACAATCGATGAGAAACGAACAAGAAGGGATTTACAGAGGAAATTTTTATGGAAGGAGAAGCAACAAAAATTCGAAATTGCTTCCAAGAGAGAAGAGGAACGATTTTAAATTGTTTTTCTTGGCTTTATCTTAAGTCATAAAGGACACGTGGTGGGAGTGAAGGAACCAAGAACACGAGAATTGGTGGTCGTATTGGGCCGCTTCTGGGCCATATTCGGATATCTAATATTGAAATTAATACTTTTATAGCGGTTTGTGTATTAAACAAAATTTATAATTTAAATTATAAATTATACTCCCTATATATGGGAAAAAGATCAATTCCCCCGTGAACTTCTGAGCTCCCGTTTATTCATACGTGATCTATTAAGATAGGCCAAAACCCTCATGAACTTTATATAATTTTAAATTTCCCCCGTAACCTATTAGAATTTGGTCAATTTACACAAACCGCAGACGGAATCTGTTATCCGTTAACAGATGGTGACGTTAACCAAAATTAATTGGTTTGTTGACTGGTTTAACACAAAAACGGCGTCGTTTCTGCATCTGG